GACTCTGTAATTGTGGGTGAATGCTACCTGGACTGACACCATTGCCGGATCCGCCCAGTCGTGCGATTTCGCAGGGTAGTCCGATAATCTATGCCATGGATCGCGAAGCAGGGCTGCTGGTATCAGTGGATGAGGAGGCGCATGCTCATATCCACAATCTTTGTTCGAACAAATCCAACCCTTCCATCGGTACCGGGAATTGCATTTACCACATCTTGGACAGCACATTCCTCTTGACATTGCGTACATGGTGTCATTCCCAATTTGAGTAGCTGGGCAGGGAAGTGGTGGCCGAATGTCGTAAGGGGGCTGTTCATTGCGCCATTCCGTTTTCTGCTTGAGAAAGCGTGGATCATAATCAAGTCGCGTTGGTGTCGCATCATCGGGTAATTGCCAGAATCGGTTGCAGTTCGGAGTCAAACACATCCAGCCTTGCAGATAGTTTTGTTGACAGCTCACATTACATTCTGTACAAGTATGAGCCATCGGCGGAGGGAGAGAGCCAATAGAAGGTGCTGATGAATCGCCCTCGGGTGTCCACCAGCCAGGATGTCCGGTCGATAGCTTCTCGAATCGATACTTGATGGTGACAAATTCTTTCTGGCCACTGCCTATGCTTCTTTCAGCCCATACGTGAGTCGGCTTGAACCATCCGAGGCTATTGTATCGATGTGGCATCTTCGTGGGAATGTCTGAGTTCTCGATGCCGCAGAAAATGACAATTGGATTCTGCGACGCGATCGAGCTCCTTACAGCTTGCACCTGATTGCTCTCCCCTTGATCTCTGCATTGCCACATCTCCTTCGTAGCTTTATCGCGGCTCATGGCGCCCCCGGCGCGGGCAATAATAACATCGTGGTCGATCAAGTCTCTTGCATGACCATTTGAGTCAAACATGAAAGAATAGAGTACACCCTTGTTGAGATAGCAAGCTTGATGATATGACTGATAGTAGAGTGCAGTCTCGCAGAGCGCCTGGCGAGTATCGGCCCATACTTCTGGGTGACCTCTGGGCAGCGATTTCTGGTCAATCGAAGTTTTCTGCATGATTTGCATCGATATGCGGAGCAATTCAGGTTGTTGGCATAGTGTCCGCTCACGTTGCTGTTCTGCGGGTAGAGAGTTTGGATCTTCCTGCAATGGCATGCTGCCTTGTACTTCTCGCAGCTGCGTGGAGGTCGACTTGTCAATGACCATGTTGAGGCCATGCTCAACCTCATCGACAGCCACATGATCTGCAGGAGTCGTCGCCGTAGGTATCAAGCCCACAGCGGAGGTATTCACGTTGATGTTATCAAGCAGTCCAATCCGTGCCAATGCGTCTGCTGAGATCTTAAGCCTCACAATCCTCTGCCTGGTAGCGCCAAATGCACCTACTGGCTTAGATTTCGAAGATGTCGAGGGCTTGCTTCCACGCTTCACCACTCTGTGCGTGCTCGTCGATGGCGCCCCAGCTGCTCGTGTCGACTTCTTTGAGAGACAATGTTGTGGCTTTTTTGGTAGTCCGGGAGGCTTGCCTGCCCTTGCCGTACGGGGACTTGCGTAGTGAGCAATCTCGCTGTCATACCGTTGAATTGGTTTGCGCTGTCGACCTGATAGTCTTATGAAATCCTTCGACGTAAAGACTCCCTCCTGTCTTTTCGAAAGCGACGTCTCATGCAACTCCGAGTCAGAAGTGTCGAGTACTATCGAATCCTCTGTGTCGGAAGCAGGAGGTCGAGTGGCCTTCGCATCATTTGCATCAATCGGCCTCGAAGAAGGACTATGGCTGAGCGTAGGTATTGATGGGCTTTGCGGAGAGCTCAACGGACTCCAAGGAGGGAGCGAGGGGCTGGAGAATAGAGCAGGTCCAATATCAGATGAGCTGCTGGACTGCTGAGAACTATGAGTGATCTGATCTTGCTGCTCGGGAAACGAAGTCATCGTGTTGGTATCCATAGAGCAGAGGTGTCTAAGTCCAGATAGTGTGGAGTATGTATCACCGTTTCAAAGGAATCTGTGCTGCGATTTTGGACCGAAGCAGTCGAGATTTACTGTATATTAGTTTGCCATATCCGAACCCAAAGTCTTGACATAAAACAGGTGCAATATTGAATAGAGATAGATAGAAAGGTAGACGGGCCCGACAAGGCTATGACAATAGTAAACAATGGAAGTCAGAAATAGTGATGGTGGTACACTTATTGCACCCTCATTGTGAACGGATAAGAGAGCGTTATTGTCTCCTTACGCAAAGGGAGCCATTGGTGAGGTCGAAAGAGCTCCACACATCACCGGCCACCGACACTGTGCTTTTTCTACACAGTCCCACCTTGGCCTCGCATTGTTCGGTGTCGCTCTGGACCATAGCATTCTGCCAAACAAGAGTCCCTTGGATCGAGCCGGGCGCGCCTGAAGGATTAATGGTCCACGGAGCATAGGACGCTATTCGCTGGCTGGATGATCGTCAGTTCCAGGCGATATCGGACGAGGAATGCGATGACCGGGTTAGCGGGGTACTTTGCTCATCACGTGCCCCGCCGGCCGTCTGCCCCTCAGCATGGCGACGATGATGTGCCGAGGGTTCATCGACTTTAATAATGATCATCTACACTTTGACACCTTTACACTCAGCCGCACGCAGAGGCCTAAAAACCAGCCCTCGCTGAAACCCTAGTTTGTGCGTGTTTGACTTCAATCGGGCGAATCAGCTGCATCCTGCCGCGGACGACCTTAGCCACGGATTGACTGGTGAGCCGGAGCAGCGCGCCTGGCGATGCCGTATCCCGCATATTAAAGCTACACCGTCCTGTAAACCGACACAGCATCTGATAGCTCGACTTTGATCTTCTATTGGAGTTGCAAAGATGCCCTTTCATCCGCCATCTTGGGTACCGAAGCTACCCTTCGACGTTCCAGACAATGTATCGATAGACCAATTCATGCTAGGAGGGGACCACGGGCGCTTGCCTTTCGAGTCTTCTCGGAATCCTTTTACCTGTGGACTGACTGGCAAAACGTACACCATATCAGAGGTCAAGCACCGGGTAGATGCTTTATCACGCGCATTGAGCAGGGATCTCCATGTTGGGGTCCATGAAGGTACCGAGTACGACAAAGTCATTGGCCTTTTTTGCATTAATACCGTGTGTTCCGTCTCGATTCTCCTTTACCATACTTCATCTAACTATGACAGATTGACACAATGACACTTGCCTGGGCGACTCATCGATTGGGTGGTATTCAGACACCCGCTAATTCGCAGTACTCACAATCGGAGCTGGAATACCAATTGAAGGATTCTGGCGCTAAATGTCTTTTTACCTGCCTGCCACTCTTAGAGACTGCAAAAGCCGCATGCAAGAAGGTCGGCATTCCAGAGGAGCGGATCTATCTTCTCCCAGTCCCAGACGTCCTTTCATCCGGGTTATCCGGCAATGGTTTCAAGACCATAGACGATCTGATCAGCGAGGGCTCTCAGCTCGAGGCGCTGCCTGTGCAGAAGTGGTCGAATGGAGAAGGCGCTAAACGCACCGCATTTCTCTGCTATTCAAGTGGAACCTCGGGGCTCCCCAAAGGTACTTTACTCCCTTCTTCCACGATGTCAAGGCGTTCTGCTGACTGTCCCCAAGGCGTGATGATTTCGCATCGCAATGTCATAGCCAATACAATGCAGCTGACCACTTTCGACACTTTCTGGCGAGACTCGCACATGCCCCCTGATTCCAAGGTATTCACCGCCGTGGTGTTGGGCTTGTTGCCAATGAGCCACATCTACGCCCTGATTGCCGTCTGTCACGTCTCTGTGTATCGAGGAGACGGCGTGATTGTCTTGCCAAAATTTGAGATGTCTTCTTATCTTGAGAGCATTCAGCGCTTCAAGATCGAGCACCTTTACTTGGTTCCACCAATTATTCTCATGATGGCCAAATCAGGAAAGACGCTCGAGAAGTACGACCTGTCCTCTGTCCAGCTCCTTTTCTTCGGTGCCGCGCCAGCAGGAGAGGGGACCATTCAAGAACTTCAAGAAATGTACCCTAAGTGGGCCATGCGCCAAGCATACGGTCTGACAGAGACCTCCTGTGTCGTCACATCCACCAGCGAGTCCGATGTCTGGTTTGGCTCCTGTGGAAGCATAATACCAGGTATTGAATGCCGCCTGGTGACTGTCGATGGAAAAGAGGTTACTGGATACGATGAGCCGGGCGAGTTGTGGGTCAAGTCGCCAGCAGGGACTATAGGCTACCTTCACAACGAGAAATCTACTCGCGAGACATTTTTGGACGACGGCTATGTCCGTACAGGGGACGAAGCCGTGTTTCGGAAACATCCCAAGTCTGGAATTGAGCACATGTTCATCACCGATCGGATCAAGGAGCTGATCAAGGTCAAAGGGCTCCAAGTCGCTCCTGCCGAACTCGAGGCGCACATCCTTACACATCCCAGTGTCGGCGATTGCGTGGTGATTGGAGTGCCTAGCGAGAGGGAAGGCGAAGTGCCCAAAGCCTTTGTCGTCAAGAGCTCGAGCATTGGCATTGAGGAGAGCAACGCGGCACTCAAGAGGGGAATTGCTCGTCATGTGGAGAAGCACTTGGCCAGACACAAGTGGCTGAAGGGTGGAATTGAATTCATAGATGTCGTGCCAAAGAGTCCGTCTGGTAAGATCTTACGACGTCTGATTAGGGACAAGGAGAAAGAAAAGAGAAGGGCACAAGGTGCGAAACTGTAGATTGGAATCGGCTTATATATATGTAGATATCGTCTGGCAATCAGAACAGTGTTTCGTCGCAATAACACTGGGAGAACGAGCAAGCTCTTCTTCTTGCTCCCGTTATTGTTCGGATTGGTGCGGCCTGTTCAAATGCGCCCAGACCTGCTGCATCCACAGACCCGACACATACAACTTCGAAACTTGAACATTATATTGCCAAACCACGCTTGCATTAATAAAAACGAAAAAGAATGGTAATAATGCACTGGCTCGAGCCCCCAAAAAAATCGAAAAACTGCAAAAGAAGTATTGCCGCAACGGAGAGTCGAACTCCGGTCTGCTGCTTACTCAGACGAATTCTCGTCAGTGGAAGGCAGCAATGATACCGCTACACCATTACGGCTTGGTTTGAGTTTCAGGATTTACAATAAAATATATACTCTAATCTTTCCAAGCTCACTCTAAGATCCACTCGAACGGCTACGTTTGCTACAATATGCTGCTAATGATATCATAACAGGTCTGGACCTTGCAAACACCGCTTGAAAAATTATCGAATTCGCAGATTGATACGCGTGGCGGGGAACTGCACAAATTGTATGACCATTACTTTCTGAAATTAATTGAAAAATTACGTGATAACAAAGACTTCCCTGTCCTATTTCGAGAACTCTCCATTACGATGACTCTCCATTTCGATTATTCCATAGTATAAACACAACTATTGCTTCCTTGCCGCAGGTAATGCTTCTACACAATGAAGTGGTAGACAGACTATCCAGCCTGGTAGATACCCAGGGCAACCACGTGCGGGTTAATGTTCGACAAGTTGAATGCGGTGACATACAAATCCGCGTCAGTCAAAGCAACGAACATGGTTCCGTTGACGGCAGGATCACCCTCGTAAGTCTCGCCAGCTGGCTGGTAGGTGTAACCTTCGTTTGCACCAGTGACGGTCAAATTGGTGTAAGTAGCGTTTAGCTGGCTGACCCACAGGACGTACGCAGGTGTAGTACTGCAGTTCGAAACTGAGGTTACGTAGCTATTGTTGGGTCCGACTGCCTGGCCAGGTACATCCCAAGTAAGGTTAACCATCTTCCCGGCAAACGATAACGGTTCGGAGCGGTTGCGAGCGATGGCAGGACCACATCCATAGCCAGTGACATTCAAGTTGACGCAAGATGCGTTTTGAGGAATTGTAGAAATAGCAGGGTCCGAAGTGCGATTGCCGATACGCTCGTACGGTGCAGTGTCATTGGGCGAGAAGCGGTTTGGGTTGGCTTGATTGACGACGTGCAGGGCCGGGAAGTTTTGCCATGCGAGTCGGGTGTTGTTCTCAGGACACGAGGAAATGTACGGAGCAAGATAAGTCCAACCCCATGACTGGGGAATACCGGCCTCAAACCAAACAGTCATGGGGCTTAGGCCGAGCATTTGTCTGAAGATCTGCTGCTGCCGTCCCTCAGTCGCAATGGATTGACCTAGTAGTTGATCAACCTCGCGACTGTCCAAATGAGTCTTGAATCCTAAGACTCCGGATTCACCGAAACGCGTCAAGATTTGATTGAAGTCGATGAACTCTCGCACTGTCGAGTAAGGGTAATTATAAGTGCATTGCTTAGGAGCAGTCTCTCCAAGCATATTAGTGAGGAGCGTGGCGTGCCCTTCCTCTTGCTGAGCCATAAACTGGATAAGCGATCTCGCTTCAGGGCCAAGGCCGGCGGCATTGAAATCGTCGTCCGAAAAAGTTGCCAGACCATTGTTAAAGCAATCCAGCTCAATCCATTCTTGATGCAGAGCCAAGGCGATTGATTCATAATCAAAATCAGAATTAACCATGTATCGTGGAGTAGTTCCGTTAGTTCCCAGACCTCCCGCAGGCTGATACGGAACGGGCTCAGGGTTCTGCAATTTGCCGTTTGTGTTATAGTATGTGGCGGTCGGTGCAGGCCCTAAATCCGGAATTGTCTGCATCAGTGCAGTAGTCGTCACGGCTCCTGTAATTGTAGGGATACCAGTGTATGGGCCATGGTAGGTCGGGCCGGTAAGGTTTGAAGATACAAGAGGTGGAGGAGAGGCATCCGATGTAGGAATAGCTGGGACAGTAGAGTCTGGGCCGAACGTCGTCGCTAAGTCGGTGAGAGGCATAGGTGTATCCGTGGCGTACGGAGCGTCTGCATCTGTATATCCCGGCACTTGTGGCGCAGGTAAGGCACTCGCAAGACCAAAGGCCAGCGCCCAGATTGACAGATTGGAGCCAATCATAGTGACCAAATGAGAATTTATTCCAAGTGTGGAAAATCAGAAACCTTTGAAAAAGCGGAAGAGAAAAAAGGAAGGAATCGCAAATATATAGTACAACCCATGACCGCGAGGCCTACTAGATTGAGTGCAAACAATTTGGGCGATGACGGTACACTCCCAGGTTCAAGGTGAGGATCGTAGATCGGGCTGTCGAGTATGCGAGTCTCAACCTACCGAGCAATGAGCCAGCGGCATCGGATGTCGAGAGTTCGGCAAATTCAGAGAGCCATTGCATGTACAAGGTATGCAGACTTCCCGGGGAGATACATGGTGACGTTTCAATAGCGCAGCAAAATGAGCTAGCACAAATTAAATCTGACCGATCGACTGCACAAGCAATGTATGGACCGGCCCTGGACGGCTTCTTGGAGGACAGTGACCAAGCTTGTGTGAGCCACGGGTGACGTGCATATTATGCACAGTGGCAAGAGAAAGACAATTGAGTAAAAGGAATTGATCACATCACCGGCGCTGTCCCTGCATTGCCGGAAAGCCTCGAGCGTGGTGGGAAAGGTATCGCCCTGACCGCGATTGGTCACTCAGCACTCATAGCCAAGATCGTCTGCTTAACGTGTCGATGAGATCGATGGGGTGACCTGCCAAAACCCGCAGAGCCGCGCAAGTGAGGCTGAGAAATGTGGATGGTCGTCAATATGTAGCTGTCGTTGATCGGTCATGGTTGTTTGTCCCCAATATTTCCGTACCAAATATACCCGCCCCACGTCATCGTACGCCGTGAGACGTCACGCCCCCACCAGAAGTTTAAGTGTTCGGTCGATTGTAGGATAATCGCTTCATGCTTGCCGATGATATATTTGTTTCTTTGTGTTCCAGATACTCGAAGGGAATTGGCCGAGAAATTCATCCACAGTATCACTGTATAAAAAGGACGCTGCAGAGTAGATAAAATGCAAGATGTTAGTTTACGTGACTTGGCATCGCCGTAATGTAAACTTTCCCCCACCTGTTTTCCGCCAGCTAACAGCCAACCATCGCTCATCGACGATATTCCTGCTTCATGGTGTGACAAACCAGCTTTTCGTGCCACACGAGCATGCAATTCTATCACCTGATCTCCGTCGCGGATTCCGTCCTGCCAAGCACGGAGGAGAGCCTTCGATTGGTGGATGATTGTCTAAAAATTCAGGCGTTGGTGCTATACAGCCTTGCCGCCTAGCGGACACGCCACGAATCCCCTGTATCTTAGACCGTTCAAGCACTTACATTGCTAATGCTGGTGCTTTGTACGTGTCTATAATATTGCAGACGGGCCTGACAATTTGAATTGGACAGATGGCAGCGGATCCTAGTACAAGCTCGGCTGCGAGCAAGGTCTTTGAAGTCCCGGAGCTTCTAGAGATGATCCTTTCGTTCCTCCCGCGTGTCGAAATACTCCTTGATCAGTGCACATCACGAGCATGGCGTCGAGTGGTTTCCGATTCGCCACGACTACAGAGGATACTTTTCCTGCTACCAGAGTGGAAGCTCGAAGGACGCTATGCAGACGAAAAGCCCGGCCCGCGCCCAGCGAATAATCTCATGCTCCGAAAAGTCATGGGCGGGACGTATCCAACTTTATCATTGCAGCTTTTCACTTACGACACCTGGGAGGAGTTCGATGTTGCGAGAAAAGAAAATTGTCAATCATCCGCCACAGACGATTTGCCAGGCGAGCGCGATATCGATGGGAAGGTAGATGACGGCACTACACTGAAGGAAGACCGCGATAGATTTGGATTTTGGGCTTGGAACGTCAATCTGTCCTTTCCAGCATGCACACCACTGTCAGAGCACAATTGCAAACCAGCAGTCTCGTATCCAGCAGCGTCTTGGCGGAGAATGTTCATGTCGCAGCCGCCACCAACAAGTTTGCATCTCACGAAAAAGTGGCAAAGAACTCCTGAACCGATCCTGACGATAGACCACGGGATAACGATGCAGGACCTCGTGAACGCGACCAACCAGAGTCATAGCCAATGGAGTGAGACTTATATCAACAGTGATGAAGACTGGCATCTGGAGGGGCCAATGAAGTACGATAGGTTTTGGAGAAATCCTAAAGTGCATAACTAAGGATTTTGTGTGTCATATTGGTCCCCATAACTAAGCCTACCCTAGGATGATGTGGGTGGTTATGTCCACGATCGTAACATCCGATAGAATTACAAACGTACCATCCAAGATGGCTACCGTTTTATGCATGCAGGTGTCGTAAAGCTTCTCTTCCGCTCATTCCTCCTTCTCAGGATTCTCATTTCCGTCGGTAGTCTGCACTTTGGGGAATGTTCCTTTGCCGGCGTAGAGTTGTCCCTTGCCCTCGCCAGCCTGTAGCTCAACACTGGTCGACACCGGCTGATTCCCTCGAAAGCGTTTTCTCATGTCCACCATTCCGCGTTTGCACTCGCCGTATCCGCGCTTCAGCTGTAAGCACTGCGTGGGGAGAGTGTGTACAAGCGGTTCACGCAAGCAGTCTGCTGGCTTGTTGCGGTATATCATGACGCAGTCGCTTTCCTGTAGGCAAAGCGCCAGTGCAGCGCCTTTACAGCGTTAGCTTTGACTCGGACCTGCGAAAGCGGCGCAAACTCACGGATGTCCTGGCATGATGAAGGCATGTCTCGGGAAATGATCAAGTAAGTGCCGCGAAATACAGAAGATGCTTCAGTTGTGCCAAGATCATGGTATACTGCAGTAATGAGGGTGTACGGCGTGACGAAGCTGTCGAACGACGCCAATGTCCATACTCGACTCATGAAGCTTTTGCTGCCGTCGTCTTCTACCCTGACGGCCTACGGGTTTCGGGAGTCCCCGCAGAGCCGCAGCAGCCTGCAACTGGGCGTTGGCTGTCACATGCCGGCCTTGACATATGCGGTGCATGCGCTCATGACGCACAGCGGACGCCGACCCAGGGTCCCCCTGGCCTCGATCTCGCCCGACCCTTTCTAGCGTCTTCAAAACATATTCCACCTGCAGCCGGAGAGTTCCTAATTCCCCGGGGTGCACATGCTTCTGCCTTGAGAGTGTTCTCCTATCGAGCACAATCAGCCTTTTGCGCAGGTCCACCCCAAAGAGCTGCATGACCCTGCCGAACGAGCACACCTA